AGTGAGTTTAAGATTAAGAGTGAAGAATAATAAAACTTGATGATCTAAAGAATAAAGAACAATAAAACCTGATTGACGAGTACAATAAATTCAACAACGCCAATTGTTTCTCTTGTGCTTTTTTTCTAAAATTAACATCACACCAACGAATCGAATATTAAAATAATCCATTGAATAATAAATATTGAAATAAAAATATATATTCAAAGTTTTGATTACCTTAAAGTACAATCTTTAAGACCGTATGGTAGTTGATTTAAACATTCGATAGAAATGGAGAGATTGGGTGACTAAAATGGTAGCTCCATGTTTCGAACTCAACACCCTAAAGAAAAAGGAAGCTGAAGATTTCCATTGCACCACCAAATGAATTATGATATTTCTTACTTTTTCTGTATTTATATGTTCATTAAAGGATACCCCTCCGAAGTAGGGGCCCTAGGTGAGCACTTACATAGACTACCCTCAGGGCCAACCTTGGAAACACCTTTGGAATCATTTTGTCAAACCTTATGCATCGGACCTGAGCATTTCTAATCGGACTACACTTAGTTGACTTGGCTAAGACTTTCCACGTAACAGAGCTTAGTTCGAATAAAATTCCACATGAAGATTTTCTAGTCTATATGCCTCATTTGAACCTACATTAGACACATAGTGTTGTATAATGTACCCTGGTCTTGGATAGAAGTAATTGTACTCAAGGTCGGAGTTTGAGCCACTGCTTGGATGATTTCCAGATCACCCTTTCGATTATCCCTCAAATGGCGTATAGTCTAGGTTTGAATGTTATAACCCACAATCTTATGTTATATAAACTTTCCAGAGGTTGGCTGGTGCATTGGACTTTTAGATTAGGGGCAATCCCCGTGTCTATATCTTACCTACCGTAACTGCACTTAATATGACTAGAGCCTCCCAAGCTATTAACCGAACACTACAAAATAAGCTAAAGAGACTCCTTTGATACTATCACTTAAATTTTTACACTTGTAATATCCGAAGTTTTAAAGTTATGTGTTATTTAGGTTTTGGGGGTATCCCATGTACCAGATAAATGACAAGCATGTTGTAGATATGAGATAATCAAATTATGAGAATTCTTTGTTGTGAAGATAATTGAATTTTGACAATGGATTGTGTTTGAATCTGAAAAGGAATGTCTACATATCTATGGGCAGGAGAATCAAATCACTGGTATAATTCTTTAAAAAGATGATAAAATGAAAATCTCCATCGGGGATCATCTTTGACGAATTGGCTTTGACTTTTCCCTCACATGGTACTTTTGTGTTCTCCAAGACTTCTCTTAGGACGAGATCCCCAACTTGAAGGCTTTGAGGTTAGACAGCTTTATTGTAGTATGGCCTAATTCGTTATTGGTAAGCAGCAAGTTGGACTGGGTGCATTCCCTACGTTCTTCCAAGAAGTTGAGGTCGGACTAGAGAATTCCAGCATTCTCCAATGCGGTTTACTCTTTGGTAACTTGGACGGGGATAATGGCTTGTGTTCCATAGGCTATGAAGAATGAAGTTTCTGCAGTCTCTTTTTGAATAGTCGTGCCGTATACCCATAAACTCCAAGCACTTCTTCTGGCCACTTGCTTTTCTTCTTAAGCCTAGTTTGAAAACATCCAAGGATAGTCTTATTTGAAGCTTTCTCTTGCCTATTGACTTGAGGGTACCGTAAAGTAGAGGTAAGATAACAGATTCCGGGTTCTTTATACCAGTCTGTGACTTCGGATCAGGTGAATTACAGTCCAATATCCATAATATGGTGTGGGGAATTCTAAAACCACAGATAATGTTCTTTCAAACGAAGGATTTAACCACTACACCGGTAGTTCGAGACAAAGGCCCTGCTTCGATCCACTTGGAGAAATAACATGTTGCTACAATTAGATACTCCTTGTTTCCTTGAGCTTATTTAACAGATTGACAAGATCGATGCCCCATTGTGTGAAAAGCCATGCCTAAGTTAAAGTGCTAAGTTTTTATGGGTGTTGATGGTTCATTGGAGTGTATTTTTAGCATTTGTCGCAAGTTTGGGCACAACCTAAAGCATTATGTCTCATGGTGGGCCAATAGTACCAGTTATTTAATACTTTCTGTGCAAGGGACCTTCAGCTTGCGTGGTTCCCACATATACCATAGTGGATATCGTTGCGGATCTGTAAACCCATCTCCAGAGTGACGCATAAGGTATGAGGTTTAAAGTAGGAACATCGGTAAAGTCTTTAGCAGATGACAGTGTATCTCGAGGCCAATCCTCGGGAAGTTTTCCATCTTGGATGTAATCAATGATTTTGTTTGTCCAATTCTCTCTTATCTTAATAGTAGCCATTATATATGGTTCATGTTCAAGAATACTTGGGGCGGCAAGGTACTCGAAGGGAATTGTTGGTCAAAGTGACTAATCCACAGAGGATGCGATGTTTGCTAATGCATCGACATGACAGTTCTCATTCTTTGGAATTTGCTAAATCTTGTACTTCTCAAATCCTTCAAGTAGTGCTTTGGCCTTAGTCATGTAGAATTCTATAGTGGGATCGTGAGCGGCATAATCCCATTTGACTTGGTTGAAGATCATCGTTGAGTTGTAATGGAATGTAAGCTCCAAGGTTTGCTTGACTACGAATCCATCCGGGGCTATCAAGACCGTTCTTGCCTCTTCTTTGTTCACATTTGACGATTTGTCCACATAGAGTTTTCAAAGACAAAGATTCTCGAGTGTTTTCTGCGTATCTGTGAAGGTTGGGACATCTTGATTACCCATGGTAAATTATGCTACAAAGTCCATGCACGTTTGGGCTCTGATCGAATTCTTGGGCCGATAGACGATTTCGTGTTGCCCTAGTTTAATGACCCATTTGGGGATTCTGGATGATGCGTTTGGACTGTGTAGGATCGATTGAAGTGGGTATTCGATCATGTAGACAACTCAGAATGATTGAAAGTATGGTTGGAGCTTCTTGGCCGCTGTTACTAATGTAAGAATAAACTTTTCTATCTTCGGATACCTAGTCTCTTGTTCGAGAAGAGCTTTAGACAAGTAGTATATTGATGAACAAATTATATTTCTCGCAAATGCAATAATCGATATGATAGTATAGTAAGCAAATATGAGTATCGTACCCATATAGATTTGTAAAGTCACCTGATTAAGGCTTAGTTTGGTATTGCTGTGCTTTAAAAAAAAGCGGCTGTGAAAAAAAGCGGTTGTGCTGTGAGAATAAGCGGCTGTGAAATAAAGCAGCAGAGTGTTTGGTAAACTTTTTTTGTAAAAGTGCTTTTGAAAAAAAAGCAGTATGATAGTGTTTGGTAAACTTTTATGTAAAACAGCTGTGGCTGTGTGAAATGACCAAAAGGGTATAATACTAGATGTGCTATTAATTTAATTTTCTTAACAAATAAAGATGAATTATTAAATATACTTTATTTTTAAAAGAAAAATATTTATAAACTTTATCTTAAATATTAATTAGTATGACAAACTATTTCAATTGAAATATTTTAGACTGAATAGCTAGAATTCATTAGTACAATATTGTTAATGTACTTGAAAGTAGTCTAATTAGATGCATTCATCAAACTTGCCGCTATTCTATTTCTTAATGCCTCTATCTCATTTGATCCTTCAACTTCATAATTTCGATATTCTTCATCATCATCATCACTACTATCGCTCTCTTCACAATAGTCTCTGGGGTCATCAAAATGCCGATCACGTTCAGAATACCTCCGTATGTAGTTATGAAGAGCCATTGTAGCAATGACAATCTTCACTTGCTTATTGAACGGGTAATTAGGCATATCCCTTAAAATTGACCATTTTTTCTTCCATACCCCAAAAGTTCGTTCAATGATACTCCTAAGAGAAGAATGTGTGTGGTTGAATACCTCTTTATGACTCGTTGGTTCGGCACCCCTACGAAAGTCTGGGAGATGATATCTTTCACCTTTATATGGTCCCAAATAACCTCTCATTTGTGGGTATCCCGCATCTACCAAGTAATATTTTCTTGACAATTGAAAATTTTGTTTTGTATTGTATTAATTATACAAAGCAAGTATGTAAAATGTTATAATATAACTATGAAGATTACCATTTGGAGGCTTAGGAAAGTTTAAATTTGGATTTCGTAGCACAGATAGAAAAACCCTTGTATCATGTGCAGTGCCTTCCCATCCAGCACAAGTAAATGTGAATTGCATGTCAAAATTACATGCAGCCATAACATTTTGAGTTGGTATTCCTTTCCTACCAATGTATGGAATTTGATCCGGAGGTGGTATTGAAGCCGCAACATGTACTCCATCTATGGCACCAATACAATCCTAAAAATAATAACATTGAAAAAAACCGTCAACCTACACTTATAGTTTGCAAATAAGTTAGAAGAAGAGTCAAAATTTACCTTAAAATAAGGCATGTATCTTGTATCTCTCCTTATTTCTTGGGGAATGCCACGAAACTCCGAATCCATCGGTTTGATAATATCTATTGCCATCTTACATACGATATCCAACATAGCACCAAAATATCTACTAATAGTCTTACCAGAATGTTGAAATCTCTCTTGCGCTAATCTATTTTTCACACCATATCCCAACATATGCAAGAACATTGCTAATATTTCAGTAGCACTCATTCTCCGTGAACCTTTCAATCCATAATTAGTTTGCAAGTCATTGGATAATCTATAAAAGACATCTTTGTTCATCCTAAACATTCTATAGCATCGCACATGATTTCCTTGTAGTACTTCCATCAACCACATATTACCTGTTTGGGAAGAATTCATACACGGAGTTTTGTGGATATATTTTGAGTAATATGTTTCGACAGCTGTCGCTATAGTGCATATAATTAGACCATCCTCCAACTCCTCAACATCTTCATCATAAGTGTTCATATTGAATATACACCTGTAACCTAACACATAATTGAACATTCCATAAGTCATAATCCAACAATCACTAAGAAGTCATAATCCGACATTCAAGAATAATCCAACGTTTAATAAAAAATCATAATCCAACATTCAACATATAATCCAACATTCAATAAACACAAAATACAAGCAACATTCAACACATAATCCTAATGCAAAGTACAAACCACAAATAGTCCTAATTCATAGTTTTAGCTCTCTATTGTTGTTTGTTGAACATATATTTCAACCAAGTCAGCTGCACTTCAGGATTAGTCATAGTGGCAAACACCTCTCGCTTCTCTGTACTACAAAATAAACATGTAGCAAACAACCATAACTCGCTAGGTGGCTCACAACCAGGCAATTGTGCAACAGATGCTATCGCTTCCGCAATACTACAGCCTATATGCGGCGGCCTCATCAATGAGTTTGCAGAACTCCTACTTTCATAAACTTCAACAAGACGGTCAATTTGACCAGAAAGTTTTTGCAGCACCTCCAATTTTTTTTTCCCCTTCTTATCAACCTTCTTCTTTTGAAAATCTCCTTGGTTGGTCGCTCTTTTTTTCCCCTTCCTAGTAGCTTGCCTTAGATCCTGCATGGTCTCACTTTCTTCCTCATCATCCAAATCAATTTGCCCTATAGATTCATCTCTTGACTCTGGTGGTAGTACTCCAGATGAAGGTGCCCAAGCATGTTCACCGGTAGCAACTGTGTTCGAGAACATCCTATCTAACTTATCCTCCATCTCAGGACTAATGCCTTTTTTCCGCAATTTTCCATATTCTTTGTTTATCTACAAGTAAACAAAGAATATGGTTAATACATATTCCATGATATCATATTACATATTCAAAGATAAATACACAAACCTGAATTTTATTATTCCACCACTCCTCAGAGGCATCAACGGTGCCCTTGCTCGAATTCCACCCTAGGCCAGTTTCTTTACCAATTAGCTCTTTCCACAACTTCCACTCAATTTTAAGTGCATCCCACTTATTTTTCAGTTGCTTTCTATCATAATCATGCCCTGTCTCTGCCTTGAAGTTAGCTCTAATATTTGCATATCCATCTTTGTCAAAGTGAGTACCCGGACGATGTTCGGCCTCAACCTCCTTGATGCAAACATCACAAAATATAGATATATTGTGGGCATTCCATGTAGCCACAGGATTTGATGAAGATGCCCCCTTCTTTGCCATCGATACCAACTACTGAATTGTATATATACATATATATATTTATATATTAAAACAAGAACAAATGAAAAATTTCTGAAAAATATTTATGCCATATTTCTGTGGGGAAATTGAAAGTAATTAATCAGCAGATTGCTAGTATTATGCCAATAAATCGAAGATCTAAACTTCAGTTTCTATGAAGCAATGATTCACCTTTTCCACACTCACTAGAGGTTTCTCAGTAAAACCCAAATTCAACAAATCACTAGAAGAACAAAAGGAAAGACTCCACATTCAAACAATGCACACCAACATATTAGGTAGATCAGTTCAAATCAGAATAATACATCACAACATATCAGAGATACACACACACACACATACATACAATAACACTTAATACAACAGATAATGAAGTAAAGCAGTAAACTTTCAGAAGCCCAAAGAAGTGTAATTGAACACACAAAATCCTGAAAAAAATAGTGGCACTGACCTCTCAGAGCAGAGGAACTTAGAGAGAAAATGGAGGTTGGGAATGCAATTAAAGAGTGAAATGTGATGAGGGTATATAAAGTGAGAGATGGGGGGTTTTGTTGGTGAGATAAAAACAAAAGAAAAAGCAAATAAACCGCATGTATTAATTGAAATCTATTTAGCTAGGTATCCAGAATATTCCGCATGTATTATGGAAATGATAAGAAACTGGGCAACTTTAATAATAAAATGCACAATCAGGGCACAGCTACAGAGTTGCAGATTTGATAAATCATTTCCATGGGACATTAATTTGCACGTAAAAATGTGAGAACTTAGAAATACAATCTGCTTCTCACTGCTGAAGTTTGGTATTTTCAATTATGTTGGTTTTCAAGTATCAAAAGATGATGATGCTAGACAGCTACCAACCCAAAAACAAGCAGCATCCTATAATAATCATCAGCCCATAACACCTTAAAAACAAATCCGTAAATTCGAAGTAAGAAACCAAACAAACAATTAAACAAATAAACCAAGAAGCAAAAGCAAATAAACCACATACAAAAGCATTGATTTCAATTAATACTAGTAATCACAACAAAATCAAAAATTTATTTGCAAGTTTCCAAAATTAACAATCGAAGTATTTTCAATTATTCTTTCTCTTTCTAGGAAACAATTAAATATTAACGAAAACCATAAATACAATACAATAGGAACGAACAATACCTAGAGCAAGACGGAGAAGATGAAACCGTGGCGGTGGAGATTAATAGACGGGAGGAAGCACCGTCTGAAAATGCAACATGAGATGGAAGATTAATAGCAGTGTACTGGCAAGCATCAACAGATAGAGAGGATTAAAAATGGATATGCAAAAATGCAGATCCAACAACAACACACAAATCTTCTCAACCGAACATCAATAGATAGAAAAGGCAGGGGAGAGTGGTTTTGCTGCTCAAAAGGCAGGGGAGAGTGCTTCATGGATCTCATGATAACAAACCTTAATTCAAACCCCAAAATTGAAATTTAGAGAATTAATTCAAACCCCAAAACTGAAAATTAGAACATTAGAACATTAACAAATGTAACCACCGCCCTATCAATTGAACCCAAAAACACAAAAACAAATGTTAACTAGGTAATCTCCTCTCTTTCATGATTTCCTTAAATAACTAAATCAATTTTGCACAAGACATAGACAAAGTATGAGGAACCAATCAGAAAAACAGAACCAAACGAATCACACGAACTGATGATATATAGGAAAGAATTTTAACATTAAAAATGCTGTTTTTTTTATACTAATTGGATACATGGGAAGAACAAAGATGCAAAATTTATAGTAATTTTACCTGGTCTTGGGAAAATTGAGAAGGTGGTCGACGCCGCAACCTTTTCTTCGAGAGGGCAGTGAGGAGGAAGAGGTGCAGTGGCTACATACGAGAGAGAGCTGAGGCGAGAAAATTTTAGGGTTTACGAGAGAGACCTGTCTTGGGGTAATTTTGGGTTATTCAAAAATTTCATTAACTTTTTTACTGTTCACCCGTGTTTTTTCTCTTCAAAGCCGCTTTGGGCTTTTGGAAGCTGCTATTTGCAGCTTCCCCATTTTGGCTTATTTTGATCTCAAACTTTGAAAAAAAGCTGATTTTCAAAGTTTACCAAACACCTAATCCCTTTGGGCTTTTTTTCATAGGAGCTTTTTTTTAAAGCACCTCAACCCCAAACTGGAGCTAAGTCCAATTATGCAGTACCCACAAGAATAGAAATAACAAAAACAACTAAACTATGAAGTTTAAATAATTAACCAAAGAGAAGTTGATCAAGTAATCTAAAGTGCAATAAATTAAAAAGAGAATGTGTTTAAATAATTTCTGAAAACAATGGTTGAAACACTAGGTATCCGATTTCACCAAATCAATCCAATTCTATGTCATTAAATAACTTAGTAAGAACAATTCAATTCAGGTTCTAGGGTTCGTTCTTTCTTTATTATGATTGTCCGTTAGGCGTCCGGTATAACCAAGTACTTTTAATTATCAACTTAACCATGGCGTCTAGTCTAAGTCAATAATCAAAAATCCATTAAGTGCAAGAATAACAAAGAAAACCAAAAAGTGTCTTAGCATATCATTTGCATCAACAACAATTCATTCATCCAAGAGAGCTATCTCAAGGCTAAGCGTATGGCATCTACTATAACCTTGTCTCATACATCTAAAAATTTATATTAAAGGTAGCTAATCAATAACATGAACATAAAGAATGATTTTAGCACAATGAATGAAACTAGAAACCTTTAAATTGATAAAAGAATAAAGTTAACTAAGATATAGAACCATCATGAAGGCTACATCGAATCCCTAGTAAAGCATTTAGTTACTCATAGCCAACAAATTATAGGAAATCATAATTATGAAAGTCATAAGTACAAAGTCTGAGAAAGATATTGAAAAACCCTTAGAGAACCCCTTGGCGTCTAGCTTCCTCCTTAGGTCAATCCTCTAAGCAATCTGATGATGTCAGTCCCTTCCTTTCACACTATTGCTCCTTTCCATTTTAAATAAATGCCCAAGGAATATAGAGTTTCAGTAAACCTTTGCTGCAATTGTTGAATTCCCCTAAACAGAAGTCCCAATATCATTAGACAAATAATATCGCAGAATTCCTAAACCAACCTCCTTGCACTAAAACAGGTATAATTTCTTCTAGAAGCATCAGAATTATGACCTGTAAAATTTTACTGAAACTAGACATCCAGAGATTTCCGTACATATGTGACACAACACCTAGTTCATCCTGATGAATTTGTGATGTCCCAACAAAAATGACAGTTCTGCGAAACACCTTCCAGCTCCAGTTATAATTCCCAAACAACAGCCATTAAATTGCGGATTGAAAAAATTAGCATCTACTAATCGTTGGAATACTTCTTGACTTCAGTTCTTTACAACCTTGATCATTTTTAGCCTTAAAATCACCAAAAGACTCTAAAGTCTTCTCTACGGTCCATTATTTACAAAATACGGACTAGACACATCAAACAACCAATTTCACAAGAAAACATAGCATAAAACTTCGGAAATAGGGGCAATATAAATGTATAAGTTTTGTGTTATATATATCAGTTTCTGCTTCCTTGAGTCTTCTTGAATTAGAGTGTCACTGACCGCAGTCTGACACTACCAAAAATAAGTGCAGGTCTTACCCACCCACTGTTTTGGATAAGAGTGGTGAATCAGGCATGTATTCCCTTAACTTCATGAAAGTTTCTTCAAATTCAACTGTTCAGAGTAGGAATTTGTTCTTCTTTATTATAGTAAAGAAGGGTTAGCACTTGTCAGTGGACCGTAAGTGGAATCGACTGAGAATAGCTGCCTTTAAGCCAAGCTCTGGATTTCCTTCAAGGCGACTTCATTTTCATGATCTCCTTGATCTGGTCCAAATTGGTTTGATTTCCGTGCTTTGTGACCATATGGCCTAAGAACTTTCATGACGCTACTCCAGAAGTGCACTATTTTGGATTGAGCTTCACATTGTACTTCTAGAGTAGGTTGAAATATTCTTAGAGGTGAGTGAAATGGTATTTCTTTCTTTGCTCTTAACTACTACTTTATTGATGTATACTTCCATCGTTTCTCCAATCTTTTCCTTGAATATCTAGTTGGCTAGCCTCAGATAGATGCCCCTATGTTTTTAAGCCCAAAATGATGTTTACCCATATCTGGCTTGTAGTTGGAATAAGCATCCATAAAGCTTAACTGCTCGTGCCCTGTTGTGAAATTGACTAATAAGTCAATCTGAGGCAAAATATAAGGGTTTTTGGGACATGCTTTGTTTAAATAAGAAAAGTCGACACATATTCTTCATTTTCTGTTCTTCTTTTGCACAAGCACCACATTGGCCAGCAAGTCTGGGTAGTGGACCTCAATAATGAAATTAGCATCTTTGAGCATATCAATCTCCTCTTCGATGATCTTACTTCACATTGTTCTCTGATTGCATTTTCGTTGGATAAACGACTTTACAGTTAAGTCCATGGTAAGACCAGGGCCGGTCCTGAGTTTGTTGGTGCCCAGTGCGAAAGCTCAAAATGTGCCCTTTTTTTAATACGAAAATACATGTTTAAAAAAAATATATTTAACGAGGATAATCACATGTATGTGTAAAAAGATTCACCACTAATAGCATGCAAAATGGCTTGCAATTTCCGTCATGATTGTATAAAATTTTATTCACATCAGCCAAATTACGATTAAAAACAGATGGATAATCACATATACAAACCTGCAAATGGCTTTTGACTTCATCATTAGTAAGCCCATCAACCTTCATTAATTCTCTAATTTGGTTTGGTGTAGCAGCTGCAAGAAAGAAAAAAAAAAAAAAAAAAAAAAAACCAATCACATAACGCATTAAATACACATCCAATACATCCCAAATCCAACCAGATATTCATCCAATCATGTAAAATAACACATCCCACTAAATTAATCTCAACTGCATACCATGTGAACCACCAAGTTGTTGAAGAGCATAAGCTGAAAGACCAAGCTCTCGTGGCGTCCTATTCCATGCTATTTCTCCTTGGAGGGGGTCATCATTTCCTGCAACAAATAGGGGATTAATCATGAGTTGATGTATGGTCGCTTCAAAACCAAAGCATGTGGCAAAGGGAAAGGTGAAACCACTTGCAAAGCAGTGTTAGGTTGAGTCTTGAAAAAACACGAAAATTTGGTTGCCTCTATTTTTGGTTCTGCATTTACCACTGTTCAACAATCTACCAACTGGATCTCATCCAGCTAAAATAATCATGAACTAAAGAAAAAACCCTTTCATGTCTTGTCAAATAAAGATTTTCTTACCCTGCCTTGTAGAAAAACAAGGTGGGATGGAATCAAATCATCATATGCAGCAGCGGATAAGTAATCAATTCAAATAAAGATTTTCTTACCCTGCCTTGTAGAAAAACAAGGTGGGATGGAACCAACTGGTCTCAAATGTTTTTAATAACTACTCTATTTCTCAATTACTGTGGGATTTGTTAGCAGCAGTAAAGTGAGTTAGGTCTAGCTAATGTTGCTGTAGCCAAATCCTAGTGAGAGTTTTTTCTTGTTTCTTGTTAATGGTGGATTTCTTATCCACTCCAGTGTATTTCTCTTTTCTTCTATAAAATGTTTTGTTTCTTCTCAAAAAAAAAATATTTAACAAAAGACGAACACGTCAGCTTCAAAAGAAAGAACATAAATGATACCATAAACAGCAAAATAATCAGTTATATCTCACTGAGAAGAGCTCAGTATAAGATTATATTACCCTAATCATACACGCAGACTGTTAGAAACTACATGTCATAAAAAATACATAAGTGCGAATATATATATCTCACCAACAAGTTTAATGTCTGTGTTCTCCACAAACCACTGTGCTCCATCCCTCATAAATCCCACATAGCTGCTGTATTCTTGAACATAATCCGCCTAAAATTGAAGTAAGCTCTAGTTAATAACTTAATATAAAGTTTCTTTGATAAATACACCATAATCTCATGCCCTCTCGACGCAACAGGAAGCCAATTTGCAAACTTATTCCCAAAATTATAGTTCTCAACCCTAATTAAGTTATAATAGCAAACATGTAACAGCAATTGATAAATACACCCCTATACTCTGTACAGCACACCCAAATTCCCAGAAACCCTAAAATGACAATACAATTAAAAACGGGAACAGAAAATTAGGGAAATAAATTCGAAAAGTCGATTTGAGGGTTTGCAAAGTGAAGCATACCTGATTACTGAAGGTAACGAAAGACTACGAAATTCAACTCCACGGAGGTGATGGAGGTCATCGTCGCAGAAGTCGTGCCGACTTCAATGACTGTGATGAGGTCCGCGGCCCAGTTTCAATGAGAGCGAGATTGCAATGGCAAATGGGTAGGGTTAATTGGGGGATGGGTCGTTCAACTCTTTTGTCAAACTTGGGCTGGATAATTTTTTTCTTTTTTTTTTTTTTTTTACTAATTATGTGGGTTTTTCTTTTTTGGTGCCCCCTTCAATTTTGGGCCTCGGACACCCGCCCCGGTTGCACTGGGCCTGGGCCGGACCTGGGTAAGACGATGCCAGATTGTTGAGGGGTCGATCCTTGGCATATCTTCTGCGATGAATAGTTCTTTTTCTCGATCTGACAATTTAGATCCGATTGTCAATGTTGAGGCTTATGTAGACAACATCTTCATTTGCCTTAGATTGCAATGTGTTTTCGTCTTGGGGGTTAAGGTCTAAGTCAAACTCCTTGTAACTCATTTGTTGACCTCTATAGTGAGATTGTTATGCTGACTCGTCCATGGGACCAGTAGAGCTCCATTCTCCTTTGTGAATCATGTTCATGCTCTCTACCGTGGAACATAGAGTTGATGTTTAATCTCCTTTAATTTCTTTTACTCAGCTAGGTGCAAGGTAATGGAGTAAATGGTGGTAAGATAAAGGGACTTCCCTCATCTTGTGGATTTAGTTCTGACCGAGTATGGTGTTACGTGAAGTCGGGGCAATCCATGGCATGGAAGGCCACTAAGTAGTTGTACACTTTCACCTGAACCGCGAGCTTCACTATTCTGAGCAATTGGACAGGCGTGCGGTTAAAGGTAGGTAGGGTGGTTTTACCCTTGCTGATATTGTCTAGAATTCTCATCATTTTAGCTGTATCTTTGAAGAAGATGCTGATTTGAGAGCTATTATGCACCAGAACACGACTAACTATGGTGTTGGAAATTTGTACCTTAATGACCAAGGCATCGTCATGGGGGGACTGTATGTTTCCGAATCTTAAAAGAGAACATTAGGATGTTAGAGTCTGATAGGATTTTTAACGTCTATGCAAATAGGGTCAAAATCACATGAAATACTTGCAAGAATACAAGGATATTGTAGTATAGATGCTCATGCAAGGTCGTTTTCCTCAAGGACTATTTGGATAATTTGTGTAGAAACAATTCCTAATTAAATACTTAGAATTAAAACTTGAGAAAAGAGAGTTTGAGAATGGGTAATATTAAAAACGAATTTTAAACAAAAACTAAAATAATCGAAGAAAAGAGTTTTAAATACCAATTTATAAAGGCACTAGGGTTCCACCATCACCTAGTAATCCTATGAATTTCTACCACTTACTTACGATTTACACATGCTACTTCGAAGGTTAGATTTTCCTAATATATATTCTCCTCGTGATATTCAAGCAAGAACGTATATCTAACATCAAATCCGTCTGTGATATTCAGATCAAATATGAACATGCAAGACTCATTAAGTTTTATGAAAACCTTTTGAAGAACCATGCAACCCCCTAAGAACGTGATTTTCGCCTTAGATGGAATTACAATTATCAATCACAAGAAGCAATACTCAATCCTCTAGTAATATTCCGACTGAATTGCATCCAATTACTTGTTTAAACATCCTAATGGTGGCCAATCATCAAGATAATTAGATAGTTTAAAACAATGATCAATAATTCAAAGTGTGCATGCAATCAATCATAAGCAATTAAATAAAAATTACATATTCATGCTAAGGCTCAAGGTTTCGCCATAGCAAAAGGAATTAGTTATGCATATTCATAATTGAAATCATAGAAAATATTATTACGAAGAAAAGGGATGAAAACACCTTAAAGTATAAAATCTCCAAGAACCCTCGCCAAGTTCTTTGTCTATGAAGTTGAATAATAATAAGCGTAGAGAAAAATTGTAGACGGCCGAAGCAATATATTTGCTCAGCCCTCACAAACCCTAAGACATATTTTTTTTTATTCCAACTAGGAAACTAAGAAAAATAATAAAATATCTTAGAAAATAAAACCCTAATTAAACTAGGAGAATCTGCCAAGTACTTGTCTAGCCATGTTTTAGCCTCAGATCTCCTCCAAATCCGGCCCAAGATAGCTTGTTTTAAAGATAAGGACCTTCCGAACACATCTCCAGAAGGCCACGAAACCATCCGAGGTCATCTTGAGCTCCAAAAACGCAATTTAATCCCAGAAACGTCATTTTCCAGCACCGCGCATCGCTCTTTTATTTTATCGCCAGAAAATAACCGCTTGATGAAAAAATCCCAAATTTTGATACGACCAAGCTAAGTGACTCACGAACGTCTTCTAACTGGAATTACTCCAAAATTCGTCCATTTGACCACGTTTTGCTCCAGAGGAAGTCGAAAATCCTATATTGAAAATACAATTCAAAGTATCAAAATTCTTCCAAAATACTAAACAAAATATAATAAGAATATGGTTAAATATATAATATAAAATTCACTTATCAAAATACCCCCAAACTTAGCTTTTTGCTTGTCCTCAAGCAAAACAAGACTAGAAAACAAAAATAAAAACTAACAAACTTGACACTTAACTAAAACTTAGCTAAAACAAAATTCTCACTTTCAAGTTGCAATCCATAGAAAATGTTAAAAATCAGAATATCTTTTCAAAAGTTCCAACCAATCTCACCGTAGAGTCTAAGCCATTTAGAATCAATTAGAAAAGAATTCACAAACTTCCTTTGGTGTAAAGTGAACCAACATAGTTAAAGAGACTCGACTAAAACTCTTACCTCTCATCCCTTTATTCATACTTCACATAGAATTTTTTTCTTTCTCTTCTTTTCGAGTTTTTTTTTTTTTTTTTTTTTTTGAAGTAACAGTAGTGGTTGTGCAATGTCAGTTCACTTAAGCTTTCGATCCAACCCATGTAGTGAGCTTTAGGTCAATGACTCCCAAACCACTAGGGCTTTAGGGCATTAGGTGTGGAACACCCCTAAGGACTTATTAACTCGAGCTGAAAAGGCTACGAAACCAACTAACCACCCTGCCTCATGCCAAAACTCTACCGTTTGACGCGAGAATCACTGCTGATTAGGCAGGACTGGCCCGGTTACTAGGCAAAACCTCGGGTGAGACAATTATTACTTTATAACACATACTAACTTTACTTTATTTAGAACAAAAATAAAAATACACTTGGAAAAAAAGCAAGTGTTTCAATCTCACTCCCCACAAACCATGTTGATGTGATGTGCAATTGTCAAAGTATAATTCGTGAATTGGTGTCTAAGTAACGATAAATAGAAAAGACTCTATTGTGGGATTAATCTTTACCATGTCCGTTTGTTCTAACGTTTAAAATAATCTATGAATATTAACTTAAAAACGGAAAAATTTAATTGACACAAAAATAAAAATCCTAAATTTTTACTACTTTCCCACCCCCCAACTTATTTCACACTTTGTCCTCAAGGTGTGGAAAATAAATATAAACTAAAAAAAAATGAAAAGCAAAACGAGAAAAGAGAAAACAAAAGTCTAGACCAAAGAATTAAAAGAAAAAGGAAAATAGAAATGAAACAAAGAAATTAAAAAAAATTAAATAAATAAGAGAACAAAAAAAGAAAATAATAAATGAAAAAAAAAATCACCTGACTTAACAAATTAAAAAGTCCACAAACCAAAAAGGCAAAAGGAACATTGGATTCCTATGTGAAATTGGCATGGCATGCAGCTAGCATGTGCATTGGAAAGTGGTAATATGCGAGTTCCCATGGCTGAATAAGAAAAGTCACAAGCAGTCCTTGTCCTTGTAGTCAATGAGCCCAAACGGCTCTTTTCTGTGTACCGAAGCTAGAGCCAAACGGCACTATATTTTCCCAGTTCAAAATAACCCTCTCGGACAGAGACACAGGGCCACACGATGAAAACACGTGTCATACATCCGTGTAATAAACTCCTTAGGATTCCAATAGAGACGCTGAAATGTGTTACAGTCACCCATTGTTATGTCAGATGGCATTTAGAACCCCTAGACCGCATTATTTCTCGCAAGCTGCACCTCCATAACAGATCTCTCTCTCTTATCTCTCAGAAGTTCAGAACCCATTTCTCTCCAAAATGAAAAGAAAAATTTCCGTCTCTCTCTAGAAAATCCAAAGAGACTCACGGAGCTCTTGCCATGTTCAAAACTCGTAACCCAACCAGTAAGTCAAACCTCCATGTCACAGCAGCTCCTGCATCCTTTCAAAGAGGTGTCTCCGTAGCCTTCCAGAACTGCAACAAACAAACCTCTGTGAGTCCCGAGCCTGTGGTAGAGTGAGCTGAAAAGTGACGATGTTGAAGGTAAAAATCCTCCTCAATTTGTGTTACTTCCGTGTCAGCTTGATGTATTTGGGTGAAAGGAAACAAGATCTAACACATGCATGTGTGTTTATCCATAGGAAGTCCTCCAAACTTGTAGATCTGAGCCGATGTACACCACGCACTCGGATTGTCAGCAAAATCCGAAACCAGTTAGTGTCTGCCATAGAAATGATGCACAGTGCAGCTCTAATCATCCCACAGAGGTACACATCTTCACACCAACTATCGTAGTGTGGTGATTTCCATGTCGCCTATAACTCCACCATGCAATTGTATAAGCTATGTGTCTCATTAGTGTGCAAAGGTGCTTGAGCTGGATGCTAGACAGCAGCAAGGACACGGCAACAGAGGCGACATTGCTGATTAGAGGCATGCATAGGTAAAAATTTTATTCTCCACCAATGATGACCCCCAAATTGATACACCTGTGTCCACTGGAACTCATACACTTGATTGTTCTGTTGCAGGGAAAATACCCCAGATCGGCAAAGGAAACGTGATGACAAAACCATTAGCTTACACTGAAGAATAGCCGCTTAGCAAAAGAGAGAGGTATAACATCACATCCCTGCTTGTGTATGATAGATCTACTACTGGATGCATGATTCCGTCTAAAATGATCTCTTTGTGCATTAAGTTTTGTTTGTCTTGTTTGTTGGCTGCATAAAAATCAGGTGTTGAAATCAGAGATAAAAATGTAAAAGATACTATCGGTAAAATAAAACAAGTAAAAGCAAAGAATGTTTTGTTTGTTTTTTTTTTTTTAATTTTTTTTAATTTTTTTTTTAATTTTAAATTTTAAATTTATTTTTTAATGAACAGGAAATGCAGCCTAAGAATTTAAATGCAGCTAGAAATTGAAAGTAATGAAAGAAAAACGAAACAAAGTAAAGAAAAAGTTAGAAAGTTGGGTTGCCTCCCAATAAGCGCTTTATTTAAGGTCTGTAGCTAGACGTTGCAGAAATCTGGTGGCTAAGTCACTGGATCCCTCAGAGTTAATGACTCGCGTGCTGTGTCATAGGGTGATTCCAAGTATGGTTTGAGCCTGTGACCATTGACCTTGAATTCATGACCTGTGACCTCATTTTTTATCTCTACAGCCCCATGTGAATAAACCTTAGTGACCACATAGGGCCCTGTCCAACGTGACTTCAGTTTTCCTGGAAACAACTTTAATCTGGAATTGAAAAACAACACCTTTTGCCCTGTGTAGAATTCCATGCGAAGGATTTTACTGTCATGAAATGCCTTAATCTTGTCTTTGTAGATTTTTGAACTTTCATATGCATCATTACGAATCTCATAGAGCTCATTGAGCTCCAACTTACGCTTCTCCCCAGCTGAATCATATGCAAAATTTAGCTCCTTAATAGCCCAAAATGCCTTGTGCTCTAGTTCCATAGGTAAATGACATGCTTTCCCATACACAAGTCTAAATGGCAACATCCCAATTGGGGTTTTAAAAGCTGTCCTGTAAGCCCACAACGCGTCATTTAATTTTAAACTCCAATCCTTACATGTAGAGCCAACTGTTTTCTCCAAAATCCGCTTTAATTCTCTGTTTGAAACTTCCACTTGAACAGATGTCTGTGGACGATAGGGTGTAGCCACGCGATGAGTAATCCCATACTTTGCTAATAAAGTATCAAACTGTTTATTAATAAAATGCTTCCCCTATCACTAAGAATCACACGTGGAATTCCAAAACGTGGAAATATAACCCCCTGGAGGAATTTCAGTACCACTGATCCTTGATTAGTTGGTGTTGCAATGGCCTCGACCCATTTAGAAACATATTTCACATCAACTAAAATGTACTGATTCCCGTGAGATGATGGGAATGGTCCCATGAAATCAATACCCCAAACATCAAATAACTCAACAATTAGAATACTTTGCTGGGGCATCTCATTCCTCTTGGATTGGTTGCCGACTCTTTGACACCTGTCACAAGCTCTGCACCAATTATTTGCATCTTTAAATAATGTAGGCCAAAACAACCCACTTTGCAGAATTTTCTCTGCTGTCCTTTTCTGTCCAAAATGTCCCCCAATGCATACTGATGAGCAAAACGCAAAACACTGTCTTGTTCAACCTCAGGAATGCATCTGCGAATAATCTACTCAGGACAATACTTATATAAGTATGGTTCATCCCAGAAGTAATGCTTGACATCAGACAAAAACTTCTTTTTCTGCTGAAATGAAAATCGGGATGCACAACACCCGTAGCCAAATAATTAACAAGATCAGCAAACCAGGGTGTATTAATTTGGGCAGCAAAGAGCTGCTCATCTGGAAAACTCTCACTCAATGGTAGAGAATCTGCCTCCTTAGTTACTGGAATAATTAATCTGGATAAATGGTCAGCCACCACATTTTCACTGCCCTTATTGTCTTTAATCTTGAGGTCAAATTCTTGAAGTAAAAGAACCCAACGAATCAACCCAGGCTTTGCATCCTTTTTAGACAACAAGTATTTTAATGCAACATGATCCGTATAAACAATTATCTTAGCCCCAACCAAATAAGATCGAAACTTCTCTAATGCAAATACAACTGCCAATAATTCTTTCTCTGTGGTAGCATAGTTGAGCTGTGCATCATTGAGCGTACGACTTGCATAATAAATGACATGGGGAAGCTTGTCTTTCCGTTGTCCTAAAACTGCCCCAACAGCATAATCTAAAGCATCACATATTAATTCAAATGGTAAACCCCAATCTGGTGCAGCAATGATGGGTGCCGAAGTTAGGAGTGATTTCAACTTGTTGAACGCTTCTAAGCAAGCCTCATCGAAGTTAAATGGTGCATCTTTAGCCAATAAATTGCACAAAGGTCGGCTGATCTTGGAGAAATCCTTGATGAACCGACGATAAAATCCTGCATGTCCCAAAAACGATCTAACACCTTTTACTGATGTAGGGGGTGGCAACTTTGCAATCACATCAATTTTAGCTTTGTCAACTTCAATGCCTTTGCTAGAAATTGAATGACCCAAAACAATGCCCTGTTTCACCATAAAATGACAATTTTCCCAATTCAGCACTAAATTTGTTTCTTGACATCTCTCAAGAACTAATGACAAATTATGTAGGCACTGATCAAATGAATCTCCAAACACAGAAAAATCATCCATAAAAACTTCCACAATTCTTTCAACCAAGCCAGAAAAGATACTCATCATACAACCCTGAAAAGTGGCGGGTGCTTTGCATAATCCAAATGGCATCATCTGATAGGCAAATGTCCCAAATGGGCATGTAAATGTTGTCTTCTCTTGATCCTCTGGTGCAATTGGAATCTGATTGTACCCAGAATAGCCATCCAAGAAACAATAAAAAGCCCTGCCAGCCAATCTTTTTAACATTTGGTCAGTAAACGGTAGAGGAAAATGGTCTTTTCGTGTACCTGCATTTGGCTTCCTATAATTCACACACATGCGCCAGCCTGTAGTTAAGCGCGTAGGAATAAGCTCATTGTTGTCATTTTTAACTACTGTCATGCCAGTACGTTTAGGAACAACCTGCGTAGGACTCACCCATTTACTGTCTGAAATAGGATAAATCATACCTGCATCAAGTAATTTCATAACCTCTGTTATGACCACCTCTTTCATAATTGGGTTAAGGCGGCGTTGAACATCAACTGTTGGCTTCACGTCGTCTTCCATTAAAATTCTGTGCATACAGATTGCTGGGCTAATACCCTTGATGTCGGCAATTGTCCATCCTAGTGCATCTTGATATTTCCTCAAAACACGAAGCAATTTATCTTTCTCTGTGGGAGTTAAATCAGCTGCAACTATAATTGGCAGCGTTTCTGCAGCCCCTAAATGTGCATATTTTAAATGTTCTAGTAAGGGCTTCAGCTCCAATTTTGGTGGCTGCTATCTGGACGGCTTAAGGGGCTGTTTTGGCTCCCCTAAGCTCTCGTAAACATTTCTAAACCTTGGCAACTGTGTGGGCAGACTGTCTAATGCGTGAATGTACTCAAGAACACCTTCATCTGCAGAATCTGTCCCAATTTCCCCTTGTAAAACGTGCAACAACTGATCTGTATTTGAATGGGCATAAAAACTATCTTGAACCATACTGTCTAACACATCAATGCGCATACAATCTTGCTGTTCAGCAGGACGTTTTGCTGCCTCAAACAAATTAAATACCACAGACTGGTCTTGAACTCGTAAAGTTAGTGTTCCAGCTTCCACATCAATTAAAGTCCTAGTTGTTGCCATAAACGGCCTCCCCAAAATGATAGGTGTTTGAAGGTCCTCATCCATGTCTAAAACCATAAATCCGCCGGGAGATAAAGATTGTCAACCTTAATAATAAGATCTTCAATAACACCTTTTGGATAAGTGATTGAACGATCAGCTAGTTGAAGTATAATTGATGTAGGCTTTAAATCTTTTTGTCCCAATCGCTGGAAAACAGAAAAAAGCATCAAATTAATACTCGCACCCAAATCAATTAAAGCACTTTTAAAATCAGAATTTCCAATAGTACAAGAAATATTAAAACTCCCTGGATCTTTTTTTTAAGGTGGTAGTTTGTGTAGCAAAACTGCACTGCACTGTTCTGTCAAAACAACTTTGTCTAAATCTGCAAGCTTCTTTTTGCTGCTACAAACTTCTTTCAGAAATTTGGCATATGATGGTATTTTCTTGATTGCATCCATCAATGGAATGTTGATTTGAACCTTGGATAATGTCTGCATGAAATCTTTGAGTTGCTGATCTCTTGCTTTAGGAATTACACGTTCAGGGTAAGGCAGTGGAGGGTCATAAACACGTTAAGAAATCTATTTTGGGACTATTTCTGTATTATGCAGATTCTGTTTTTCTGCAGATTTGTTAGGTTCTGCTGCTGACATTTCAGATTCTGCAGTAATTGACACTGCAGGTAGATTCTGTTCAGTACAGTTTGCACGATTGTCATAACTTTTTCCACACCGTAAAGTCTGAACAACATTGCAGTCTTCATGTCCTCTTGGATTAGGCACTGTTTGACTAGGAAATTTGCCTTTTTCTCTGTCTGAAATCTATGCAGCTAGCTGCCCAAATTATTACTCCAAACTTTTAATTAATGCTTCAACATTTTGAATTCTTTGATTGCTGCCTTCTATGAATGTTTGTGTTGTAGCTGCCAGTTTAGAAAGTTGATCTTCCAAGGATGGTTTTGATGGCACAAAAGGTTTTTGTACATGCTGGAATGGTTTTGAATTATTCTGATTATCACCCCATTTGAAATTAGGATGATCCCTCCATCCTGGATTGTAATGAGTTGCATATGCATCATTCCTAGGCCTTTGATAGCTGTTCATCATATTAACATGTTGCTCCACAAGCTCTGGGTAAGATTCTTTATGTGGACAACCCAATATGTTGTGTGTAGCCATGCTGCAGATAGTGCAAACTGTTGCTGCTGTGTAGAATTTGCTATCTGTTGTAGAATAATATCAAACTTGGCATCAATTTTCTTCTCCATTTTTTCCATTTGTACAGACATATTAGGAGAACCTGTTGATAACTCAAAAATGCCCCTTTTCTGTGAATGTTCTGCTGCCCATTGTTGAGATTCTGTAGCCATTGTATCAAATAATTCGAATGCTTCTCTTGCAGATTTATTTGATAATGAACCCCCAGCTGATGCATTAACATGGCTTTTGGATGTAGGATTAAGCCCATCAAAGAAAATATTCATTTGTGTACCTGGATCAATATTAACATGTGGACATTTTATATACATCTCTGTATATCTCTCCCACGCTTCATGAAATTCTTCGTTTGGCTTTTGAGTGAATGTCATAATCTCCTGCTTGTAATTCAATGTCTTGGATGCCGGATAATATTTGTTCAGGAATCTTGTATGCAATTGTTGCCAAGTAGTAATGCTATTAGCTGGTAGAGTGAATAACCAAGTTTCAACCTTATCTTTCAAAGTAAAAGGAAAAAGACGTAACATAATAGGCTCGGCAGAAAAACCCCTGATCAAGATATTTTTGCAACCCACGATAAATTTTGCAACATGTAAATTCGCATCCTCGTTAGTCAGCCCACGAAAAGTAGGTAAAATTTCAAGCATATGGTGCTTGATCTCAAATGAATCGCCATCTTCCTGGGCAGGATATACAATACAATTAGGAACATCATTAGCTCGGGCAGCCAATGACTCTCTGAGTGGCCTGCCTGCAGCAGGCAATTGCAACGCCATTGTGATTTTATCGTCTACAAAACCAGCAAACAATTCTTGCAGATATGTGCCTTGCAGTTCACCGTTCCAAACCAAATTATTTTCTCTCCTCTGTTTATGCAGTGTGCGTTCGGGTTCTGGATCAAACTGTGCAATCTGGGCAGTTCCTGATCTAGCCTGGACCATGTAGTTTACAGAATCTGCAATAACACAAAAGTGTTAAAATAAATTGATTTTTTTTGACGAAAAATAATATAAAAAAATAATCAGAAAAAGTTTAAACAAAAATGATCTAAAATAGTCCCCGGCAACGACGCCAATTTCTTGATAGGATTTTTAACGTCTATGCAAATAGAGTCAAAATCACATGAAATACTTGCAAGAATACAAGGATATTGTAGTATAGATGCTCATGCAAGGTCGTTTTCCTCAAGGACTATTTGGATAATTTGTGTAGAAACAATTCCTAATTAAATACTTAGAATTAAAACTTGAGAAAAGAGAGTCTGAGAATGGGTAATATTAAAAACGAATTTTAAACAAAAACTAAAATAATCGAAGAAAAGAGTTTTAAATACCAATTTATAAAGGCACTAGGGTTCCACCATCACCTAGCAATCCTATGAATTTCTACCAATTACTTACGATTTACACATGCTACTTCGAAGGTTAGGTTTTCCTAATATATATTCTCCTCGTGATATTCAAGCAAGAACGTATATCTAACATGAAATCTGTCTGTGATATTCAGATCAAATATGAACATGCAAGACTCATTAAGTTTTATGAAAACCTTTTGAAGAAACATGCAACCCCTAAGAACGTGATATTCGCCTTAGATGGAATTACAATTATCAATCACAAGAAGCAATACTCAATCCTCCGGTGATATTCCAACCGAATTGCATCCAATTACTTGTCTAAACATCCTAATGGTGGCCAATCATCAAGATAATTAGATAGTTTAAAACAGTGATCAATAATTCAAAGTGTGCATGCAATCAATCATAAGCAATTAAATAAAAATTACATATTCATGCTAAGGCTCAAGGTTTCACCCTAGCAAAAGGAATTAGTTACGCATATTCATAATTGAAATCATAGAAAATATTATTACGAAGAAAAGGGATGAAAACACCTTAAAGTATAAAATCTCCAAGAACCCTCGCCAAATTATTTGTCTCTGAAGTTGAATAATAATAAGCGTAGAGAAAAATTGTAGACGGCCAAAGCAATATATTTGCTCAGCCCTCACAAACCCTAAGACGTAGGTTTTTTTATTCCAACTAGGTGTTGGAAATATGCCCTGAAAGTCAATCTTTGGAAGAAACCTTTCAGGACAAATGAATCGATGTATGGATGACTCTTATACATCAAATGGCAAAGACACGAATTAGGACTATCTCAATAAACGATATATGTCCTAAATAGTGTATCCATGGACAATGGATCGATTGAAGAAGTAATCTAATGATATTAGACTACAGAGACCTTCTTCACATAACCATTATGTCCAAAAGGTTCCTAGTCATTGGATTGTCGGAGGGAAATTGACAATGCTTAGACCGGTACATACTGTGTCCACTTCAAATGGAAGAATGGAAAGTCTCATCCCATTTGTGTAGTGACACTAAGACAAGTATGTAGGTGCTCATTAAGGGAATGAGTTCACTGAACACAATCGAATGAGAGTACTTGCATGGAGGTCTACTCACATGTCAAGCAAGTAACTCTAATGGTTGGAATAATGTAAGTAGTCATTTGACCTGAGGCATCGTCGTTGTCTTGTGGCTAAGTACTTAATCTTTGATTATGTCAAAGTCACCCCATTCGCGGATGTCCACGCATAATAATTGGGGTTAAGCCACTTAGTCATGAAGGCAAGTGAATGCGCAACAAGGAATCTCTAATCCTCGATTAGAGAGGAAGAATACTCTAAGATATGATTCGGGAATCTTCGGCCGAATTATAGAGCGTAATAAAGGAAAGCGTTCCTATACGACTCAAATGAATCATATAAGAAGGAATAATCACATTAGGGGTTTGACATAATATATCCATATCCTAGTAATGTGATTGAGAGTATTGTTTTAGAGAAGGATCGAATTACATTGTAATTCCAACTGAATAGGTTCTCCGAACAACTTCTACATTAGCTTGGGTAGCTATGACATATGGTTAGATGTCACTCATAGCTTGTGAGTTCTTCTAGATGATTAAATGTAGTCATCAAAGAAGAAAGGTGAATTAAAATGAAGTTTTAATTCACTAAGTGATTGGATTAAATATAATCAATTGAATTGATGTCAATCACCTCACTGCCTTGCTAATTAGAACCTAAAATGATTGTACACCGATACACTCTTGTAGTGAGTAATTAATGGATGATGGAAATAATTAATTGGATTAATTAAGTGTTGTGATTAATTTAGAAAGTCTAAAGAAATCATAAAAGCGATAAAAGATCGTTTTGGGCTTAAAGAAACGTTCGGGTTTAATTGGGCCCATTGGGCCCAAACCCATTGGGCTTTTATTCAAGCATTGGATGACTAGAAATAAATAAAAGCCCAAAGCCCAAACCAACACAAAGGGGCCGACCCTTGCAAGTGGAGAGGGAGAGATATTTAGTCAAGTTGTTGACTAGGTTTCTTTTTGTCTATATAAGGAACTTTATAGAGTTTTAATCCTTAGGGTTTTTGTGTGTTTTTTGAACAACAAAGAGGCAAAAGAAAATATCTCTCTAAAACCACAAAGGACGGCCACCTAGAGGGTGTTTTAACTAACAATCTTTCACCCTTTTGGTTATTCCTCCATCCATCTCACTACACTAGTGGGTGTGGATATTTAGAGGTCTTCTCATTTGGAGACTAAAGGAGAACCTTGGAGCACTCTTACTAACAAAGTGGAGGAGGCAAGGAGGGAGGCTAGGCTCAAGGACTTCAAGGAACAAAGGGCTTGGAGGTGGTCCATACTTGGTCTCAAGTCTAGATCAAGAGGTATAAGACTAAACCTTCACTTTGTTCTTTACTAAAATGTTTTGATGCATTGTATATAAACCTATGAACCTTGAAGGGGATTTGCATGACTATAGCTTTGATATTATTTGATAAATTGCTTCCGTTGCTCATGTATATAAATTTTGAATTGTATATGCATGCTAGTCATTTAGAAATCCCATGTGTTAATCTCATAATTTTCCCTTCACTAGGAAACTAAGAAAAATAATAAAATATCTTAGAAAATAAACATTCATGAACATCACTCATGTCAATCAGCTTCAAAATCTTCATTTACAGAGCTCTAGCTTCAAAAGCTTCATTTACAAAAGCTCCAGCTTCGAAAGCTTCATTTACAGAGCTCTAGCTTCAAAGTTTCACTTGCAAAGCTTCACCTACAAAGCTTCAGTGCAGGGTATACAAATACCGCCTCCGAACAACCGCCACTTCGGCCCATATATGGATTCAATTTGAAGTCTCCAACCAACAGACTCTATTGACCGAAGACTTGGGGGACTACATTATGTACCATATATTGGGCCTCAACTGGGCCTCATGAAAAATACTTGGGGGACTCAGCCCATTATTTATGTATTAAGGAGCGAGCCCTTATTCTATAAAAGCGACTCTCCCTCACTTTCATTAGAGAGCACCCATTATTCATGTATTGAGGAGTGAGCCCTTATTTTATAAAAGGGACTCTCTCACCACCATTAGAGAGCATAGCCACCTACTGAGCAACCGCCTCGCCGCGAGCATCAACTCTAGCCCATCATTTATGTATTGAGGAACGAGCCTTTATTCTATAAAAGGGACTCCCTCACCTTCAAACGCCACAAGCTAAGCCAACCAAGGCAACATTAGCCACGAGCCAAGCAGCCTCGCAACATATGCTACTTCTAGTTGAGCATCATTTCAGATTGAGCACCGCCTCATACCGAGCATCAGTTCAAGACAACATCTAGTTACTTCGGCCCACACATGGACTGAATTTCAAGTCTCCAGCCAAAAGACTCTCTTGACTAAAGACTTGGGGGACTACTGTTTATACCATATTTAGGGCCTCGTAATTAGATCTCGTACAAATACTCGGGGGACTTAAATGTAATTATGTGATAAAGGAAGGGACAAATATGTAATAAGTGAGGAGTCCTTATTCTATAAAAGGACTTTTCACCCTCACAAATTGGGGAGGCCATTTTTGAAGCCTTCTCACCCCTCTCACATCCCCTCTCATATTCAGAGGTTCTCTCCCTCACCTCTCAGATAAATACAATAATGAGTGTGGATGTAGCCCAAACCTTGGGGTGAACCACGATACATCTTGTGTTATTTACATTTCATGCAGATTCACGATCGGATTTACGTTGTTCCAAGACCTCCGGTTTTGTGCATCAACATAATCAATGGAGTAGAAAAAATAAGGATGGGAACCGTTTAGTTGTGGTCCCTAGTCCTTATCTATTATGGACTCAAACCTTATGCATTTTAGAATTTTGATTGAAATCCCTCTCCTGCTACATAAATGACATAATAATAAAAGAGATGCAATAATACCAATAAAGACTCAACCGTTTTTTTTTTTGCTTTCATTTACACTACCAATTTAATTATTCAATTTTCTTATGGGTTTTGATAAAAAAAATAATAATTGCGCATTCTAGATTATAAAAAAAAAAGGATTTTATTTTATTTATTATTTTTATGAGTACATTTATATAATAAAATTTGGTTACATCTTATATATAAAAAATTAGTACATTTACATAAAAACATGGGTACATTTTTGAAGGAAATTTTTTGTCCTAGCTAAGAACATGTGAGAATATTTGAATACATATGCAAACTATTAACACATTAAAGTAGACATGCATTAAAAAACAATTCATAAAACCCATGACTTTCAAAGCCTAGTATATGGTGAACCAATAAACTCTTTAACAACATTAAAGAGAAGGAAAGATTTAGAGTTTCTTTACCCTTGAAGCTCATCCTTGATTACACAAGGGATTCACCCAAGTGGAGGGCCTTCAAGTCACCTCCTTGCTCCTTGGATCTTCCTTGTGATTTTCCTCCTTTTTGTGCTCCTTTGCTTCTTTGAGGATTTGAGGATTTGTTCTCCAAAACATCAAAAGCTTGATGTCTCTAAGTCTCTTCACCAAGGATGTGATGTGAATATGAAATGGATGACTTAAGGAAGAAGAGATTGCTAGCTATTCCTTCCCTAGGTGGCCGGCCTCTTTAGAGAAAATGAGAGAAAATTGTTTCACCTCATTTCACCAAGAAAAAAACCCCTTTTTGAAAATAAAGCTATAAAGTTGAATTTATACTTCATCACATGTGAGTGGCAAACTTGTAATTAATCCAAGTTTAACACTTCTCACCCTAATGGCCGGCCATATCAAATTGATATGGCTAATTGCCCATTTTGCTTTAGTTGTCATACAACTTAAACATAATGGGCCTTGTGGACCAAAACGCTTTTGGGCCCCGAACCCCAAAACCAACATATAAGCCCAATATGAACATTTTGTATAATTAATTAACCTTGACCATTCTTCAATTAAACCATTTAATTGCTTATCCATTTCATTTAATTTCTTCACCAACATCCTTACTCGGTGTACGATCCATTAGGTTCCATTTAGCGAGGTAGTGGGCGATTGTTACTCTTAACGATCGATTGTGAATTGAAACCACATTTCAATTCTCCCTTAAAATTAGTGTTTGCTAATCTTTAGGGCTTCCACAAACCATGAGTGACACCTAGCAGCATATCATGGTTACCCAAGCTAAGTAGAAGTGGTTGGAGAACCTATCCAGTTACAACTACAATGCAATACGGTCCTTCTCTAATACAATACTCTTAACCACATTGTTTTAGGTGATAGTTTGTTTCATGTCTACTATCCAATGTGATATTTATCTTTATGATTCAATTGAATATGATTTGGAACAAACTTCCTAAGTCATATTCATATGCTTTGGCCAAAGACTCTCGAATCATATCTTAGAGTATTCTCCTTCTACCATGGAAGGTTAGAGATTCCTTATTGTGCATTCATATGCCTACATGACTAGGTAGCTTGACCACAACAATGCCGTGGACACTCCAATGGAATTCCTTTGACATGATAAAAGATCAAAGACCTAACCATTAGACATCTATGATGCCTCAGGTCAAAGGATTACTTTGCATATTGCAACTTTCGAGTTCTTACATGACATGTATGTTCGAACTCTCTTTTGATCGTTGTTTAGTGTACTCGATCACTCTTTCGAGCACCTATGTGTTTGCCTTAGTGTCCAACACTAAATGACATGAGACTAGTCATACTCACGCTTGAGTCGACATAACACATACTAACCTTAGCGGATTGTCAATGCCCAATTGGCAATCCTATGGCTAGGAACGTTATAGGAATGAACATAAGAGAAAGGTATCGATAATCTAACTTACTTAAATCACTTATCTCTTAGATCAAATACATTCCTTGGATTCCCTTATTGCTTAAACACATGATACAATAAATAGTGATTAACAATAAGCTTTGCCCTTCATTAAACATTTAATAGTTTAATACAATAAGCATTCCAAAAGCTATTACATCAAATGAGTGGCTTTGTGGGCATACTTCCAACAATTTTATATAGAAAACAATGGGTACATTTTTTATTAAAAAAAACAATGGTACATTTTAGATTAAAAAATAAATAGATTTTACATTAAAAAATGGGTATATTTTAGATTAAAAATGGTACATACAAAAAAAAATATGGATACATTTTACATATAACAAAGTGGTACATTTGTGAAAAAAATGGGTACATTATGAATAAATTATGGGTATAAATAAAAGGTTAAAAAATTATGAGTACAAATAAAAGTTTAAAAAAATAAGGGATAAAAAGAAATTAATATATGGGTACAAATTAAAATTTAAAAGAAAATTGGTACAATTTAAAAAATGATTGCAAATTAAAAATGGGTACAAACTAAAAATAGAAATATATGATAAAAAATTTAGCCATAAATATAATATATCAAATGTAACGTTTCTAACAATAAATGAATATGAATATATTTAAAAATAAAACTTAATTATCTTGACATGTAAATATTTTGTTTTTGAATAATTAATGGCGTTTATTAAAACCAAAGGACCTTGATCAAAATTTGTAATGGAATAAGATTTTAATCAATGAAGTAGAAAAAATAAGGATGGGAACCTAATTATAGACTAAAACCTTATGCATTTTAGATTTTTTATTGAAGTCCCTCTCCCGCTACATAAATGACATAATAATAAAAGAGATGCAATAATACCAATAAAAACTCAACCGTTTTTTTTTTATTTGCTTTCTTTTACACTACCAATTTAATTATTCAAATTTTCTTATGGGTTTTGATAAAATAATAATAATAATAAATGCGCATTCTAGATTATAAAAAAAAGGATTTTATTTTATTTTATTATTTTTATGAGTACATTTATATAGTAAAATTTGGCTACATCTTATATATAAAAAATTGGTACATTTACATAAAAACGTGGGTACATTTTATGTAGAAAACAATGGGTACATTTTATATTAAAAAAAACAATGGTACATTTTAGATTAAAAAATAAATAGATTTTACATTAAAAAATGGGTACATTTTACATTAAAAATGGTACATACAAAAAAAAATATGGATACATTTTACATATAACAAAGTGGTACATTTGTAAAAAAAGAAAAAGGGTTCATTATAAATAAATTATGGGTACAAATAAAAGGTTAAAAAAATTAGTGTATGGCGTGTATTAAAAAAGAATTTTCATTTTAATTAGAACTGCATTAATTTTGCATGTGATAGGTGCACTGAATTCTCGTAAATCCAGAAAAGGAATTTTTCTTCTTTGGTTGGAATTAAATCAATGGATTGAGGATAATTACAATTCACATAAATGAGATTACACATTGACAGCCCCATACTGACTGGCTCAAGCCAACTTTTTTTGCCAGAAACAAACAGTCCATAATGCATGTATCCCGTTCCTCATAAGAAAGAGACAAAATCAGAAGAAAAAAGTTGAGAGAGAGAGAGAGAGAGAGAGAGAGAGAGAGAGAGAGAGAGAGAGTGTGTGTTAGAGTTGTGATGATGGAGCGTTTCGGTTTTGGTTTTGGCTTGACTCGTCTGAGATCGAGGGTAGCAGTGCCGGTGTGGCTGGCAATAGTAGCGGTGATGATAACAATGAGAGCAGCGGCCAAGGTCAGCAGACATGACGTCGGAGGAAGCAAGATTAATTGGAAACCAGGCGTTAACCTCTCAGACTGGTCTTCTCATGAAACATTTTACGTTGGTGATGGGCTCTGTAAGTACTACTACTGATCTACTATTTTTTAAAATTTATTTCTCTCTTTCTTAATATCATCATCATCATCATCATCATCAGTCTTTTCCTATGAAAACTATAATTAATTTAATAATTAACAAGGTGTTCTTAAAGCTATATATCTGATATCCCTTGGCCTTCTCTTCCCTTTTTCTCTGGCTTTGCAGTTGAACTTGAAGATTAAAAAAAAAAAAACATTTAGACTTGAGAAGGTCATTTTTCTGCAGAAACAGACTCAACAGTTGTATTTTCTTTAATTTGTACAACTTCTTTTTTTCCCGGCCTAAAGTCATTTTTCTTGAGAAAAAGCTTGGCGTTTACATTTGGAGAAGGAATGAATTGGCGAACTTAGAAATACGGAAAGTAAGGAAAGGAAATCCGCGGTTGATATGATTTTTGATTTTTAGGTACTTTTAAGGATTTCAAGAGGAAACTTATACTTTCACAATTTCTTATGTGTTAGTAAACATAAGAAATGTGAAGAGTAAAGAGTTACCCCTATTTTACACAAAAAACCTCAAGAATCAAAGCGATTTAATTATTACTCTTATAAGTAAACATGTCTTCTAAATTAGGTCGATCCTAAGCTTTTGGGAGCCGATATGAATTCTTAAAACAGAATTAGATATTCTTTACCACCCACACAATTCGAGATTTAGAAATTGTTGATCCTTATGGAATGAGGAGATATCGCAAGTTGTTTGTTTTTTATTTTTTATTCCCTTAAATTTAGCATAAAAGGGAGGGATTTTATCCCTACCCATTAAAATCAACGTACTCTACCTACAATTAACCACATGGCGCCTATATTTTGTCCATAATTGATTTTCTTTTTTCTTTGTCTACTCGTCCCTTAATTAATTTCCTTGATTTGTTTCCCTTATTTTCCCCCTAGCTAGCCTATCCTTAGGTGGATGCCTTGATGAAATCTTTAGGCGTTTAAGTCGAACAAAATTTCGAAACCTAGGAACCTAATAATCTGGATTGTATCATGATTATTTTTAAATATTTAGGCATTTTAGCAAGTGTTGGATTGTATCTGGGTTCATTTCTCTTGTAAATAGAAAAAGAAAAAATAAATTTCAAAATTGTTTGAAATTCGAATGATTGAAATGTCATGTTACGACTATATATAAGTCCGCTAGGTCGCAAGGTCAAAATTTTGATTTATGGAAAAGTTAAGATAAATTTGGTGTGAAGATGCCTGTCCAGTGTATTCATATGAAACCATGGAATACAAATTGAGGATATTATTTTTAAGAAATAATTTGGTATCATGTTTAATTGTTATTAGATTTTGGATACGAAAAGCACAGATTTAATGTACTGGAAGTGAACGAGACAAATTATGAGAACTGCATCGACACCGGCTTCATTAAAAACATAACAGGTGGTGCGGGACGCGATGTCTTCATACTCACACAAGCAAAAACATATTACTTCCTCAGCAGTGGCGGGTATTGCTTTGGAGGCTTGAAGGTTTCCGTCAACGTCCTCCAACAGCTTCCGCCCACCCCGCCTCCTACTTCACCTTTAAGTGGTGCTAGTAGTTCTGCTTCTCCGCTTAACCCCATCGGGATCGTTGTCTACTTCATCTTGGCATATGAAATCATTAGGGTTTAATTTGTTATTTTTTGGACAGTGAATCTGTTGTTTAATGCTTGCAGAGATTTGTATTTATTTATTCTTCTAATTTGATTCACTTGATAATGGAGAACATATCGGGAGATAGGGAAGAACCGACATTGTCCTCCAAAGGGGCGTGCTGAATAAAATTACGGCATCTCAAAACATTTCAGGATAATTAGGGTAAATTACACAAAACTACCTCAACTATTGGACCAGTCACAGTTTCATACCCCATCTTTAAAAAATGTCAATGTCATACCTCATCTACGAATTTATTATAATTTCATACATTCGGTCAGTTGTCGGTCAATTCCTCTGTTAAATACTGACGTGACTTGAGGCGGCACCCACTTTTTATTAAAAAATTAATTAAATATAAAAAATAAAAAATAAAAAACCAACCCTTCTTCGGTTCTTCCCCATCCACCTGTGTCCCCCCCCCAACCTTCCTTCACCACCCCACCGTCGCCTTTCTTCCTCCATCTTCACCACCCCACTGCTACTTAATCTCTTATCATGAGCCATTGACACACTGACCTCGAGCGAATCAGGAAGATCCTTGATGGCGCGCGAAGCAACCTCCCAGATCACCGCCGTCTCCTTCTTCAACTCGGACCCGAACTCCTTGAGATCGTGACGGTAGTTCTAGATGACAGACTCAGACATCGTTGCAAATCAGACCTTCAAAGCTCCATGCCCCTATGCTATAATTTGGACGCAGACTGTGGTCCCATTCCCAGTCCGAGTTCGGGTCGACGCCGTCGTTTTGGGCGTTCGGGTGTAGATCGTTTGAGGGAAGGGGGTCGTCGAAGAAGATTGACTTGAAGAAATTCATGGGTGCAGATCGTTTTCGGTTTTTGTTTTGCAAACCCTTGGGATGGGATTCAGAAGGAGGTGAAGATTTGGGTGTAGGATAGGAGAAGAGAGGAGAGGAGGGTAGAGAGAGAATCGAATTGGGGAGATAGAACGATGAGGGAGAGGAAAGAGGAGGGTTGGGTGGGACACGGTGGATAGAAGGTAGGAGGGTGATGGGTGTGTAAGAGGGGAAGGGGATCTTGGTGTGGGTTTGGTTTTTTTAGGTTTTTATTTTATTTTAATTTTTTAAAATTTAGTTAATATTTAATTAGTTTTTAATAGAGAGTGGGTCCCGTCTTGAGCCTCGTCAGCATTTAACGAAGGAATTGATAAACAACTAACGGAAGGTATAAAATTGTAATAAATTCGTAGATGAGGTATGACATTGACATTTTTTAAAGATGGGTTATGAAACTGTGACTGACCTAATAGTTGAGGTAGTTTTGTGTAATTTACCCGAACAATTACTATTAACCGCAAACTTTAGTGAGTCTGTCAGCCTCTCTTTTTTGTTTGGCCGTCTGGTTAATTGTGAAACCAATGAAAGAACAATCATTTTCGTTGATATAATAACAAACCCCAAGAAAGGAGAGGTGATGCAAATTCAACGAGTGATAAGAGCCCAACTACCAGAAGCTGATGTAGAAGGGAAGCAAAAACTAGAAGGATATCGTCGTATGTCCAACTAGCGAAGACTTGAACCCAAGGATAAGAGCACTCTCAATGAGGGAAATCAAGATAACTGTTGATTACTAGTTGAGAATGAAAAACTATGGGTACAGTACACCAACCCTTATATGGATGCAAAAGGATACAAAAATGTGATTCGTACACCAACGAAAGGAGAAATTTTTCATTGTGAGGGGAACACGGGTTGTACGCCACGTGTTTTTATATAAGTAGTGGAAAATTGTATTTTTTAAAGTTATTAACTTTTTAACACATATATCTTACCAATAATGACACGTGATGTACCACTCCATGTTCCGATCACATTGAAAAATCTCTCAATCCAAGGGGTGATACTCAAACAGATCAGCGACATTGAATGTCGGGAAAATATTCATATTACCGAGCGAAGCACATATTCAGACCTTTTCTTTTAATACCATGATATTCTACACTAAAAGCAAATAGAGATATTCTACTATAAGGGGATGGAAGAATGAACTAGGATGCACAATGAGCAACCTCTAAATAAGTATTAAACTCAACAAAAATATAATATTTCACTACAATAAAGTAGTCTTTTAGTGAAAAAATCTTCAGCAAGAAAAAAATAATTTCATCGCTATAGGACACTTTTAGTGAGGATATTATTCAGTCCCTGCTTAACTAACCCAATTTTTTGTTTGAACAAACGATAATATCTACACTAAGGGGAAGGGTGTGTGCTTAACTTTACGATGGGCTAACAATTAACTAACCCAATTTTGATCAGTTTACTTTGTGTTCACTTCAACGAGAAATTAAACTATTTTACGAGGAAAAAAAATCTCTCTCTATAGATGGGGACTTTTAATGAGGAAATTATCGTTTCTCGCTGTAGCTAATAAAAAGTTAAAAGAGACATATATATATATTGAAGCCCACTTTCAACACTATTTAGTAGATAATTTAAATCAAGTTTGCATCCCTGATTTTCTATTACATTGATTGAAACTTTATTCCTTTTTAATTTTTATCAAGGTCACTTGATTTTTATCCACATAGTTATTCTAATAATAAAATAATTATATGTCAGCCTCTCTAAATTTTATAATTAAAAATTATTTAACCATTTGATTCATTTAGTGTTAGAAATGTTCAGTTTGATATATTTAAATTCAGGATTAAGTACCTAAAACCCTCAACCTTATAGTATCATTTCGAATTGGTCTCAACATTTTTAATGAAGCATTCCAAATACATATCCAACTTATTGAAAATTTCACATTCGTTAAGCCCTAGTTAAATTTATGTTATTACTTCGTCTCCAAAATCTATTGTAAACATGTAAATTTCGTTGCATACAAATGATGCATCACAAAACTCCACGCGGCATATGACTCATCACAAATGGACAAGTCACCAATAACATGTGGCACATATCAAGCAAAGGAAGTGTAAAACATTCCCAAAATTTGGTACAAGGAAGAAATCTCCTTAAAATCAGCAAGGGGTCCAAATTGCTCCCAAAACCGGAAAGAAAGCTAAAACATCTTCACAAAACAAGCAAGAATTGAAGATTGCTCACAAAATAGGCAAGTCGCCGAGACCCTTGAATCAACGAAATTATACATTAACACTCCCTGCAGCCTTAAACTTGAGGTGAAGACTATCCAAGCATCATTTCAAGCTCAAAACTTAAAGCAATCGTTCAACCGTTCGTCTGAGATCAAGTCATCATGACCCTTGGATCAACAACCTACTCATCTACATCAAATTTGAAGACTGAATCAGAGGAAAGTTGTAAACAGAGAATGTAACCTATAAATTCAAATCAATAGAAATCTACTTTGTACACGTGTTCTTGTCTCATTCGATACAGAATTTTCGAGTTTACATCTATGAAAGGTCATAAAAGCATAGCTCCACTAATTAACGGTCACCACCAAACCATCAGGCCATCACCCTCCAAACCCATCACACAACCACTAACTCCACCCTACAACTCAAGGCCACTCCAAACATGAGCAAAAGAAATATGTTATAGTAGTTGGGAGTGGTCAATAAAGGTTTGCATCATCACCCACACGAATCATATAGAACTTTAGCATGTTATCAAATAGGCAAATTTGGTGGCAGATGGATGACGATAACAAAGTCACAACGATAAAAAGAAATCAGCCACAAAGCTTGAGCAGCACAGCAAAAAGGGAAGCTACAAGATGGTCCTTCAAAGCACGCTACAGTAGCAAAGAAAACCAAAATGCTACGCAACGCACTATGCAACCCCGCAGCGATTACGTAAGCAATTTCTTGCACTGCACGACAACATCACCACCAAGGGAAAACTATGACCAAAAGACACTATACAACATAACATCGCTGCAGTCTTTTGCATAGCACCATGTGGTAAAAAGTGAAACACTGTAACAAGCACCAAGCATTGAAACTCACGGCACCAATCAGCAACAAGCAACAAAGCACGGCAGTATGCACAGTGGCAGTGCATGGCAAGGGTTGTGTGACAAAAAAAACACACCCAATTGTCCTATAAATAAGGGTCAATTGCTTCCTAATGCTATAGGGAGAATGCATACCAAATAGCAAAAGGAAACTCAAAAGACGGAAGTACATTCCAACCAAAAGGAGGAAGCAAATTCCAAGCAAAAATGGCAAGGTGATTTCGGCCACAAAGGGAAAAAAGCATGCCATTTTTACAACAAAATCAGCAAAGAAAAGAAAAGGAAACCAAAAAAAAAAAAAAAAGGAATGGGCTTCAAAATTTCCAAAACATCAAAGGAAAGTACCTTTCCTTGCCAAAATATAAAAGGTAATCCCTCCAAAGCAAAGATAAGCCTTCAAGTTTCCCAAACCAAAGGGGAAAACACCCTCTTGGCCGAAAAAAGGAGAGAAAAGGGAAAGAAAAAAAAATGCAAATCCTACTTACCCAAGGACAAGTAATAAATTTTTCCAAAACCTTGAAGGAAATCACCATTATTACCAAAATTGAAGGAAGTTCCTACCTAAGGAAGGAAAAACATTTTTCCCACAACCACAAAGAAAAAAATCCAAGTCTCAAAATACACCAAATGTATTTTGTCAAAATTATGGAAAGTCAATACGCACAATAAGTATGTACTCATTTATCCATTTCCAAAATTTTCTTTCAAGATCAAGCCTTTATGGCCCTTGAAGAAAATTTTCATTTCATTCAAGACCAAGCCTGAATGGCCCTTGACGAAATTCATCATTTCAATTCAAGAAATACGCCTCAACGGCCCTTGAAGTAAAAATTCATTTCTTTCAAGATCAAGCCTCTACAGTCCTTGAAGAAAAAAAATTACATTTCTTTCAAGATCAAGCCTCTATAGCCCTTGAAGAAAAGTTTCATTTCTTTCAAGATCAAGCATTTATGATCCTTGAAGAAAAAAATTCATTTCTTTCAAGATCAAGCCTCTACGGCCCTTGAAGAAAAAAATTTCATTATCAAGCCTTAACGGCCCTTGAAGAAGAAAAATTTCATTTTCTTTCAAGATCAAACCTTTACGGCCCTTGAAGAAATGTTTCATTCAAGA